TTTGGTTGTCTTCTCAGTGACTCCTCTTATGATGTTCTGTGGCATAGCTTACAAAGCCATTTATGTTGGCTTAACATCAAAAGAAGAGGTAATTTGATATGACCTTTACGAACCATCCTTTATATGTTGTGTTCTTAAGCCTTTTTCCATTATTCCTTTGAAGGCTTCCTACAGGAAAGCTGGGGGAGTGGCAGAGCAAGCCATCAGTTCAATCCGAACTGTGTTTTCATTTGTTGCAGAAGATAACCTGGCTGCAAAGTATGCTGAGCTCTTGGAAAACTCTGTGCCGTTTGGAAAGAAGATTGGATTCTCAAAGGGTGCTGGAATGGGAGTTATCTATCTGGTCACTTACTCAACGTGGGCTTTGGCTTTCTGGTATGGAGCTATCTTGGTTGCCCGGAATGAGATCACTGGTGGCGATGCAATCGCTTGTTTCTTTGGCGTCAACGTCGGAGGAAGGTAAAGCAGCAGTAGCCAGCCATGTCGATTTAGTCGGTGCTTTTAAGATGTACTTTTTTTGTTCTCTGTATTCTCTGTCTATTGGTACATACGGAAAGTCATCCATACAAAACCTTTAGCTAATATTCTTTCTGAATTCATCCATATAAAACCTTTAACCAACATTCTTCCTTGTATGTATCTTCACTCTCCTGTTCTTTGTGTTAATCTTGATCGAGTGTACATTGTTGTGCGATCCTAACAAGAACATGTTTTCTGATTGTGATACAGAGGATTGGCTCTGTCACTGTCATATTTCGCTCAGTTTGCACAAGGAACAGTAGCAGCAGGCAGAGTTTTCACAATCATAGACAGAGTTCCAGAGATAGATTCTTACAGCCCATTGGGAAGAACACTCCCAAATGTTCGTGGAAGGATAGAGTTCAAGGGCGTCAGCTTTGCATACCCATCTCGTCCAGACTCTCTGATTCTGAATTCATTCAATCTGGTCTTCCCATCCTCAAAGACACTCGCTCTTGTTGGTGCCAGTGGCGGTGGTAAGTCCACTGTCTTTGCTCTCATAGAGAGGTTCTACGACCCCACTGAAGGTACGTATTTATCAAGCCAAGCTTGTGTCTCAAATCTGTTTGTGAGCTTAAAGAAGGGAAATTAGAATAGAGTTCATGGGATTTGGTGCAGGGACGATTAGTTTGGATGGGCGTGATATAAGGACACTGCAAATCAAGTGGCTGAGAGATCAGATTGGGATGGTGGGTCAAGAACCCATCCTTTTTGCCACAAGTATTATTGAGAACGTTATGATGGGGAAGGAGAATGCTACTGAAAAAGAGGCCATTTGGGCCTGTGTTGCTGCAAATGCTGATACCTTCATCTCTGGTCTTCCACATGGCTACGACACCCAGGTTCATATACCTAACTTCTGCTCAAAAGAAAAACTTTATTTATTTATATATATATATATAGGTAATTGTTTTCATTTCATATTTTTGGTTTTTCTTTTCTCCAAAAATAGAAATTGTTTTTTTTTTGTTCAAGTCTACCTTTAGCAGATATAGTCCTATTTTGACTTTCTTTTCAAACCCCAATCCAGCCTTTGAGGTCAGCGCCCTCATTGCCTGCCGTCATGTGTCTAGCTCTGATACCATTTGTAACAACACAAGCCCACCTCTAGCTTGTTATCTTTGGGTTTTCTCTTTCGTGCTTCCCTTCAAAGTTTTAAACCGCGTCTGCTAAGCTTCGAATCCCCTCTCCAACCAACGTGAAATTTCTTAATTTTTTTTATATTATCCTTTCACGAAACATTTGAATTCTTAGTTAAATTTTAAAATAAAAAAAAAAAATTGAAAAGCTTATTTCGTACTTTTATAAAATTAATATGAATTTTTAAAACTATGAAGTTTTGAGCTAAACTTTGTATTTTCTTTTCTTCAACTCATTTGGTTTTAGTCTGTCTCAAGTAACATGGGGTTCTGGGCAGGTTGGAGACAGGGGAACTCTGCTTTCCGGCGGTCAAAAACAGCGAATAGCATTGGCACGAGCAATGATCAAAGACCCCAAAATTCTTCTCTTAGACGAACCAACAAGCGCATTAGACCCAGAATCCGAGTCTATAGTTCAAAAGGCCATCGATCAACTTTCTTTAGGTCGAACAACAATTGTTATCGCTCACAGGCTTGCAACTGTCAGAAACTCCCACGCCCTTGCTGTCATTGAACATGGCTCCGTCGTCGAAATTGGTACCCACCATCAGCTTGTGGAACGACAAGGCGCTTATTACAACCTTGTCAAGCACGCATCCGAAGCAGTTCGAGAAACTTCTCTCAACCAAAATGATGCTCAGAAATTCACCGATCTTTCATTGAGTGATATCTCGAAGTCAGAGTATGTTGTTGAGCTTTCAAAGTCGGAGTACTTCAAATCTTCTGTAGAGGAGGATCAAGAGGGGAAGAAAGAGGAGAAGCGAAGAAATGTTAGAACTTTAGAAATATTGAAACTACAAAAGCCAGAGCTTCCAATGCTGCTATTGGGATGTCTCATGGGTTTGAATGCAGGAGCCATTTTGTCGATTTTTCCTTTCATTCTCGGAGAGGCCCTTCAAGTTTATTTCGATAGTGAAACTTCATCAAACATGAAAACGAAAATTGGGAATTTGTGTATAGTGCTAGTTGGGTTGGGGATTGGCTCCATTCTGTTCATGACAGGGCAGCAAGGCTTTTGTGGTTGGGCTGGAACTAAGCTCACAGTGAGAGTGAGAGATCATTTGTTTAGATCAATACTGAAACAAGAACCTGGTTGGTTTGACTTCCCTGAGAATTCCACTGGAGTTCTCATTTCTAGGCTTTCAATTGACTGCATCAATTTTCGATCGTTTCTCGGCGATCGAATCTCTGTCTTGTTGATGGGATTGAGTGCAGCTGCAGTTGGCCTTGGTATCTCATTTTGGCTTGAATGGAGATTGACCCTGTTGGCTGCTGCTTTAACTCCTTTCACTCTTGGTGCCAGTTACATAAGCTTGATTATCAACATTGGACCAAAACTTGATGAAAATGCTTATGCCAAAGCTAGCAATATTGCTTCAGGTGCAGTGTCAAACATAAGAACAGTGACGACATTTTCGGCGCAAGAACAGCTGGTTAAAGCCTTTAATCGATCGTTATCCGAGCCGAAAAAGAAGTCGGTCAAAAGGTCGCAAATCTTAGGCTTCACATTTGGCTTCTCCCAAGGTGCCATGTATGGAGCTTATACTCTTACTCTCTGGTTTGCTGCACGCCTCGTCCAACAAGGCAAAACAAGTTTTGGTGATGTGTATAAGATTTTCCTCATTCTTGTTTTGAGCTCCTTTTCTGTTGGACAGCTTGCGGGTTTAGCACCGGATACTTCCATGGCAGAGACTGCAATTCCAGCTGTGTTGGATGTCATCAATCGAATGCCATTAATAGGCGACGAGAAAGGAAAAAGTAAGAAGGAACGGTTGACAAATTTTGACGTCGAATTTAAAATGGTGACATTTGCATACCCTTCTAGGCCTGAGGTGATTGTGCTAAGGGACTTCTGCTTAAAGGTTAAAGGATGCAGCACAGTAGCTTTGGTCGGTGAGAGTGGCTCGGGAAAATCGACGGTGATATGGCTGACTCAACGATTTTACGATCCGATTCGGGGGAAGGTGCTGATGGGAGGTGTGGATTTGAGGGAGATCAGCGTGAAATGGTTGAGGAGGCAAACAGCTTTGGTTGGTCAAGAGCCTGCACTGTTTGCTGGAAGCATAAGAGACAACATTGCATTTGCCAATCCAAATGCCTCATGGTCTGAGATTGAAGAGGCTGCTAGAGATGCTTACATTCACAAGTTCATCACTAGCCTCCCTCAAGGATATGAAACACAGGTAAAAAACTGTAAAGATTATGAAACATTACTGGTTTTGCCCAATGACCTCTTTGTGGTTTCTGTGGTCATAGGTTGGCGAGAGCGGGGTTCAACTCTCGGGAGGCCAGAAACAACGGATAGCGATAGCGAGGGCGATTCTAAAGGATGCAAGTGTGTTGTTGCTGGATGAGGCAAGCAGTGCACTGGACCTGGAATCCGAAAAACATGTCCAAGATGCACTTAGGAAGGTGTCAAAGCAAGCTACTACAATCATAGTCGCCCATCGACTTTCGACTATCCAAGACGCTGATATGATTGCAGTCGTTAGAAATGGCTCGGTCATCGAGCATGGCAGCCACGACACCCTAATGGCCAAGGTTCATTTCGACGGTGTGTATGCAAACATGGTTCATGCTGAATCTGAAGCCACTACATTTACTTAGCCTAATTTCTCAGCTTTTTATTTACTCAAATCGAGTTCATATCAACAAACCAACATAGTTTTCGATCTGATAAGGATGTAAATTTAAAACTGAAGGAGAAAGAGCAGGATGATTCTTCTATTACTTTACATGGTTTTCAGGCCAAAAAAAAGGACACTATTCTTGTCCATTTTTTGAGCTATGAATTATTATCTACTCTTGATGATGTTTGCTTAAGTGGGAACATTACAAAAGAAATCTGGCCTCCATTCACAATACTTAAAGCTTCAGAGACAAGGATTTCATGCCCATAAAGACAATAGCTTCACCAGAAAGCACAAAAATGTCAATCATGCATTCATTTTCCCTACAAACAATAGATTCAAAAGTAGGGTTTAGCAGCCATTGTTCGTTAAAGACAAATTGTTCTAACTTTGATTACATAACCACTAGAAAAGTAACATCTCAATGGCTTTACCTTTTGACAAGGCCTGCTTTCCCACCATTGAAATGGGTAACACAATGAACAAGATACCTATGTAAAATGACCATATTACCCCCAACTGAAACCACCATCTAACCCTGCTACATGGTGGCAGATATGACATTTCACCACAGGAAATGGGCCACATCCATTACTTTGCTTTTAAGCCAAGGGAAGCTGGTGGTGGTTACCTGCTCATGTCGGGCTTACCCCATCTATTTAGGTGCTTGGATGAGGTGAAAGTTATAGTTTCATAGTCAAAAGTGAGCAAGTTCAAGAATGGCATCTCTTATACCAGGAGTATTACTTAAACTTCTGCAGAGTATGAACTCAAATGTGAAGGTCAGAGGAGAATATCGATCAGTGCTATTACAAGTAATCAGCATTGTACCTGCCTTGAGTGGCTCAGAACTGTGGCCTAATCAAGGCTTCTTTCTAAAAGTTTCAGATTCTTCACATTCAACTTACGTTTCATTGTCCAAGCAAGATAATGAGTTGATCTTGAACAACAACTTACAGCTTGGCCAATTCTTCTATGTTGATAAAATGGAAGCTGGAACTCCTGTTCCCGTTCTTGTTGGGATCCGACCGGTTCCTGGACGACAACCTTTCGTTGGAACTCCGAAGGATCTTATGCAAATGCTAGAGCCATCAAAGAGTCCAATGCAGGCTAATCAGAAAGCAAAAAGTGGAGCTAAATCAAAGTCGATATCAGAAACAAAAAATGATGGAATGAGACATAAAATCATCATCAAAGAGGAAAAGGCGAATGTTTCATCACGATACATGCAGGGCGTGTTGTCGTTGAATGCTAGAAGTGGTAGATTTGATTCAAATGGTGGTGGAAGGAGGCATGAAAATGAGGATGGTGAAGCAGGTAAGGATTGTTCAAAGACAGAAGCGCTTCAGTTCAGTGTCAAGGAGGCTTCTGCAACATCTAAAAGCATCCCTGCAAAAGGCACTTCAAATAAGCAGGAAAATTTGAATGTGAACTGTTTACCTAAGAGAAAAGATCAAGTTCATTCATCAGAGACAGTTTCATGGGCCTCCTTGCCTACTAATCTTTTAAAGACTGGAAAAGTATGCATTCCCTTAGCTCATTCCTTTTGTTTTCTCTTTCTGTGTTATAAGCTTTTTCGATTCTTCATTTTGGATTTAACCAATGATTTAGTGATTTGGTTTAGGGCTTGAGTGATCTGAGGAGTTAGTAGTGTAACAACTCAAGCCCATTGCTAGCAGATATTGTCCTCTTTCGCCCTTTTGGGTTTTTCCTCAAGGTTTTAAAACGTGTCTGTTAGAGAGAGATTTCCACACCCTTATAAGAAAATCTCACAATCCACCCCTTTTGGGAGCCCAGTGTCACAATAGCCATTTTCTTGGTAGCGGATTTGGCGATTGTGCGGCACTCACTCCTAGCACTGAATGAGTCAAGCCAACTTAGGATCACATTGCCTATGGTTGGTCAATGTATACTCAAGCCTCTGGCCTCGATTTGAGAATAAGGTTTTAGAAAGTGAGGGCAGAGAGATTTTGAAAGAGAGTTTGAAAGCAAGGTTGAGAGAGATTGAAAACGATGTTATATGTCATACAAGCAAAAGACAACGATGGCTTAAATAGCATATAACTTTTCGGGTAGGGAGAATCTGACAACTAGTTGCATCCTCTTACAGTACATTTTGAGGCGATTCAGGTTTGGTAGGCCTAGACGTGATTTCGCCGAACGGTCATACAAAATCAAGGGGAGAAGTTGAAACTAGTCACACTCCCCTAGCACATTCTAGGACATTTCATGTCTAATCGGCGTAGACATGATTTTGCCGGAACATTATACACTTAGGAAAAGCAAGAAGGAAATTATACATCAAGAAAGCAGTAAAGAAAAATGATAAAATGATACAAGGCAAGGGTTTTGACATGTCATGGGCATGCGTCCATGGGCAACACGCCTTAAACAAGCATGATCGTGACACCCAGCGTCCTTGCTAGCACTTCGTTCTACTCTCCAACCAAGGTGGGATTTTACAGTTACGGAGGGTCCACGTACCTCAAGTTACATAGATTATCTTATAGTTCCACTATCTTTACATTTCAATACATTTGGGTTCTATCATATACATGTGAACTTTTACTTTTTGAAGGGCATGCTTAGGAGGAAAAATATAGCTTCCATGGTAGCAATAGAAGCTCAAAAAGAGGCAACTGCTGCAGCATCTATGGTCAAGTGTCTCAGGTATATTTTTGGGGTATAAACATTAAAATAATCCACAGCTTCATACACATTGAACTTATTTCCATCATTTTTTTTTACAGTGTGTTTGCTGATCTGTTCTCATCAGCCTCACCTGAGAATCCCCAACTCCCTCTCGCCAAGTTCTTCACACTTCAGGAGTTAATCTCCCAAACAAATTCCAAAAATTCAGCTAAGGATAAGTCACTTCATTTGACTGCAAACTCATCTCTGCCAGAAGCAGATAAATCTACAAAGATTACATCTTTATTTCATTCTAAGAGTGCTTCATCAAAGCCAGCAAAGGCAGCTATTGAACTAAAAGAAAGTGAAAAACAAGAATGGGCAAGAGGAGATGGTGCAAAGGAGATCAAATTACTGCGAGATGTCTTGATAAAGGAATCAACATCATGGTTTTTGAATTTCTTGGAGGAAGCTTTGAATGTTGGGTTTCATATACAAAACCAGGACAGCAAAGGCTGGAACAATGCAAGGCGACAAACGGTGGTGGACAACGATATTGCTGTTGCATTATCACAGCTCAAGCAAGTCAATGAATGGTTGGAGAAGTTAAAAGGAAACTTGAGTTCAACAGACAGTGGCTTAAGGGAGACCATTGAGAGATTAAAGCAGGGAGTTTATTGTTGTTTGCTTGTACATGCCAAGTCTGCTGCATCAGCTCTTGAGAGCAGACCCGACCATCGTTGATCTAGAACAACAAATCTGAACTTTGTAAATTTTATGATAACGAAAATTATGCATTTGAAGTGACTTAATCACCTAATTTCGGGAGTTAGATCGTTCTTATCGTCAATTGGGCCGACGGATTAATCGATAACGTATTTGAAACTTCCCTATCCTCCACAGTTCAATACATTCTAACTCGACATGCAGATAAATTATACATCAATATCTTTCTGCATACTGAATCATATCAGAAGTGTTCAAAGTTCAAACAATATAGACAATGGTGTGAGGTGTGAGTCATGTTAGGAACCACGAACCATCGACAATGGTATGATATTGTCCACTTTGAGCATAAATTCTCATGGCTTTGCTTTTGGTTTCCTCAAAAGATTTCATACCAATGGAGATGTATTCCTTACTTATAAACCCATGATCATCTCCTTAATTAGCCAATGTAGGACTCTCTCCCAACCATTCTCAACAATCCACCTCTTGAACAAAGTACACTATAGAGCCTTTCCTGAGGCCTATGGAGCCCTTAAACAGCCTCTTTTAATCGAGGTTCAACTCTTTCTCTGGAGCTCTCGAACAAAGTAGACCCTTTGTTCAACACTTGAGTCACTTTTGATTACACCTTCGAGGCTCACAACTTCTTTGCTCGACATTTGTGGATTCTATTGATATGGCTAACTTAAGGGTATACCTCTGATACCATGTTAGGAATCACGGACCCTCAACAATGGTATACTATCGTCCATTTTAAACATAAGCTCTCATGGCTTTACTTTTGGTTTCCTTTAAAAGCCTCATAGGAGATATATTCCTTACTTATAATAACCCATGATCATCCCCTTAATTAGTCAACGTGGGACTCCCTCCCAACAATCCTCAACAAGTCAATCATCCGTTAACCAGTCACCTACCCAATGAACAAAATGCGTACTGTACCTCAATTCAAATTGCAGTACCATACCTCAATTCCTATCTTCTAGAGAAGCAATGATTTTCAGCACGCTATCTTAAGGTGAAATATACACTAAGCTAAACACCAGCTCAAGTATTCAAGTTGAAACAAAGAAAAAGAAACAAAGTTACCCTTTCTTGCTGAATGTACCCTGCCTCTCCCACATGGCTCGCTCTTCCTACCCCCAACTGTGCCTGTTGAATAAGGCTAATTCACATTGGCCTCCTCCAGTTCTTGTCACTTGGGCATTTTAACAAACAGCTTGTAAGCATACAAAAGGAACTGCAAGAACACACATATTTAACCAGCAATGTCAGTGAGCAAACAATTGGGCACCCATAAAAATGAGTACATAATATTGCATACTAATTTATATCAGCCAACAAAAAGCTTCTTGATGAGAATGGCAAGCATGTTATGGGTAGGCGAGTGGATGATCTTGCTTTGTTCATCAAATAATTGAAAACCCATGAGTGGATCTATCTGCCAAATGATGGGTGGGGAAGAAAAGAAAAGCAAGAGAGAGTTTCAATGGCTGCCAAACCGGCAATTAAAGGTAGATATGAGCTTTACCAAATGCCACCAACCTTCGACTGACCTATCTGAAATAGCCCACACTTATTTGGAAAGGATTCGCCATCATTTTGAACAGATTTTGAACCCAACTTTTCCAAGGCTGATCGTTTTCAAAATGGCTAAAAAAGTAAGATAAGTTATACCTTACTTCATTCTAAATCATAATTTATAAACGAAGTTAATTCTAAAATAATTATTTTAACGTTTTGTAAACCTCATTTGAGAAAATTAGAAAGAAAATACAATTCCATTTTTGACCTTTTAAATTTTAATTTATCTTTAGTTAATTATAACTAATAGTTTTATTTTGAAAATATAATATTGCAAATATAGACAAAATGAAATTAATATCTTTTTTAGGTTAGAGATTTAAATTCTCCCGATTTTAAGGTAATAATTAGAAGAAAAAATCAAAATTTAAAAATTTTAAATTTAATTTTAGTTTAGTATCAATAAGATTTTAAATTTATTTATTTATTATTATTATTTTTTTTTTTTGAAGCAGTTTTTGCATATTTGACTTGTGGCGAGCGCAACGACGCCATTTTAGGAAACTCGATCCGATTCTGAGCTGCACACGCCGCAGACAGTAGTAATTCAATTTCGGTTTTCCATCGAATTCCTGTCCTTTTACGAACCCTACCTTCGCCTGTTTTCGTCATCTTTCTGCTCAGATTCATCCATCGTCATCACGGTTCTTCGGATCTTTGAAATCAAAACAGAACCTCCCGCCTGGTAAAGTCGCTAAATTCGTTGTTTTCTCACTGTTTATTCGCTCTTTTTTGGTTGTTTTCTCGTGGGAATTTGACATTTGTGGGTTCTAAATTCCCGACGATCTATCGAAGATTGATCGATCAGTTTATCTCAGATAGGATTTCTATTGTAATCTGTAGGGAATGTTTGATTCCTTTGTTTTGGAATGTGCTATTGAATGATTTTTGGGATTTGATTTGATTTCTTTTCCAATTGTACTAAGAAAAGAAATGGGTAATTTCTTCGTGATCGGGTATGTCTATCTCTAACCAAATTAGAGTGTTAACGACGAGATCTCGTCGCTGTTCTCTTGCGTTCGTTTATTGTTATCTCTGTACGTTGATGGGGTTGCATTGTGGATTCGAAGAGTTATAGTACCAGAAGAGTAATGGAATTTGTGAATTATGCTTGAGAAAATGGGCATTGATTGAAAATGGGGATAACTTCTTCTTCGAATATTCTGGTAATGGTACTATATAAAGTTTATAAGGAGTTATACTTAACTTGTAGTCAATGTGGGTTCAACTAACAATATTTAGACCTTGAAAAACATGAAACTGAAGATGATGGATTTGTAAGTAAAGCCATTTTCAACCTTGCATTTGCACTTTCAAGGAATTATGGGACAAATTATGTCTCATGAAAACTACCTTTCTTTCGCCGGTTACTAATTTCCCCCCTTTGATTAATGGCCTTGTCATCATTATTATATGCGTGATCCTTAGTTGAGTTATCTACATGGAAACACTCCAATCATACTCAATCATATTCTGTAAGATACCGTGGCTGACATATTGCGATGATTTTGTCCTTAGTTGGGAGACATATCAAACTAAAGATGGTGAAGCTTACGATGGTTGCTCGTGTTACTGATGGTCTTCCTCTAGCAGAGGGACTGGATGATGGCCGTGATATGCACGATGCAGAATTCTATAAGCAGCAAGTGAAGGCTTTGTTTAAAAACTTATCAAGAGGTCAAAATGATGCTTCAAGAATGTCTATCGAGACAGGCCCATATGTTTTTCAGTATCCATATGCTATTGGCTTTTCACATTTAAATTATAGTATTCATTGGCCGGCTAGTTTGTTGTGTTTTGAACTTTTCTATCTGCATGTCCATGATGTCATAGTGTATTTGTTACTAAATAAATTAGTAAGTAGCATTGCTAGTTTACCCCTTACTCATTACACCCATTCTGATTTATTGTGGCTTATGACGGGCTAAATTGGAGATAAGATTATGTCCATTTCTATTTGTATCTTGCTGTAAAAAGGAAATAAAAATGTTAGTTAAACTGTCCCTGGAGCAAACTATTGGTATATTGTCAATTTGTTGGTAGCTTATTGAATTTTTTTTTAGACAAATGAGTTTGATGTTGAATATGAAAACTTATTTTAAGTTTACCACTTCTCGAGTTCAATGTGGAGAGGAATCGACAAATAAATGTGTTTTATAAGTCTTTGTGAACTATGGGTTCTCGCTCTAAAGTGTCTAGAAGATTGCTAGCTCAGATATGTTCTTGATAGACTTCATTTTACCTTAACCTTAGTTTTTAGCTATATAATTGAAGGAAGGGTCTGTTATTTGACAATGTGTGATCGTGCTTATCCAAAGAAACTTGCCTTTCAATACCTTGAAGACCTGAAGAATGAATTTGAACGTGTCAATGGGGCTCAAATTGAAACCGCTGCGAGGCCTTATGCATTCATTAAATTTGGTATGCAATACTTGGCTTTATACAAATAACTCGTATGGACTTTAAACCTGAACTTTATTTTACTTTCCTTTTGCTTTATTTGAATTCTTGTTTCTCACCTCCTCCTTTTATGTTCAACAGATACATTCATACAGAAGACCAAGAAATTGTACCAGGATACACGTACTCAGCGTAATATTGCGAAGTTGAACGATGAACTTTATGAAGTCCACCAAATAATGACTCGCAATGTTCAGGAAGTTCTTGGTGTTGGTGAAAAATTAGACCGTAAGATATTTCCTTTTCCTTCTCTTCTTATGTTATTGAATTGTGGTTATGCATTATTATTATATGCTTGATCATTACAAGCTATAATATCTGTTAGTGTGAGTAGTTCAACTATCATTACAAGTTAAATAATATCGTTACCAGTTTCTTTGTTAATTGAAATGGTTAGCACGAATTATATTATTTTATGTTGGTAGAGATAAATATCCTTTTGGCCTTCTTGAAGGGGTTTGCAGAATCAAAATTCAGCAGTGTTAAAGATGATAATTTTCTAATTTTATACTATTTAAAATTTGCAGAGGTCAGTCAAATGTCAAGTAGGTTGACATCAGAATCCCGCATATATGCTGACAAGGCTAGAGATTTAAACCGGCAGGTCAGTGTCATACTATTGCTCGATGTGTGCTTTAATTCTGTCGAAATTGAATGTTTGCCTTAAGCACGTGAACTTCGAACAAAAATATCTTTTAGTAATTCTGTTGATACATGTATTAGTTTTAGAAAGTAAGAAACAGAGAATACCATTGAACCTAAAGGGAATACAACTTAAAAGCCAGAGGGAAATGGAATCCCATGCCTAGGAGGTCGGAACAAAGTTCCCTCCAGTCTAAACTAATCAAAAAACTGTTTTAGTTACGAAAAATCATTGCGTGAGGCACTCCAAGCGGTAGCTATCTACTGTAGATTTAGCAACTTCAACATTCATCATTAAAAATCCCATTGTTTCTTAACCAAATAGACCAGAAACTACAGTACCCTAGCTTTGCAATTTAGCCACCATCATGAAAGAAACTCTTTGATCCAGTCTACAATATCATCTTGGAAACAGTAGTTGAGCCCAAAGATCTTTAAAGGACAGTCGCTCTTTGGCCAAAAACTCATAATGAATGAAAATTAGGTTGTTAGTCTCTACATCCCTTATGCAGTTAGGAAAAATCTGAGGGAGATACAAAGGAAGAGGTTTCATATTTGAATTCTAAAGCGTGTTTGACACCTCAAATCAAATGTGAAACTTAACTTTGTCGGCAAACTGACCCTCTTAATCAATCGTTTAAGTCTTTGAAGATTCAAACCTCTCTATCACGTTGAGTGTCTCATCTTATAGGATGAAACTCGATGGATGGTATTGTATGGAGTCTATTCCATGTAGACTGCCAATTTTAATTTTCTAATTTTAACAATTTTAAGATTATTTTTTTTTTTTTTATCATTTTGGAACATCAAATGATTCTCGAATTTCACACATCACGAGCATTAGGACTGTAATCCAAAACTGTGCATGATTTGTTGCTAACCGAACTCATAAACTTTGTCGATCTCTCTTGGGATGCTTTCTTTTATGTCATGTCTATGTAAAAGTTCGTTGAAGACCTCATTTTCAAGTGAACTTGTGTTTTCTTTTAGTCGACAATCCTAATGCTTGACTTCTCGTTTCTTCTAAATTTGGAAACCCAGGCATTAATCCGAAAGTGGGCACCTGTTGCTATTGTGTTTGGAGTTGTATTCCTGCTATTCTGGTTCAAATCAAAGATCTGGTGATTCAGTTGCTGTTCCAGATAATCTTTAACTCATTTTCAGGCTTCTGTTGTTGCTTTTAGCTGTGGCTCAATCGGTTCAAATATCAGAGACTTGAAACTGGGCTTGAGGTGACTTCTAGATCTACTCATAATAATGATGGCTAAGATGGGATCAGAAAAATAGTGTTTTTTGTTACCTCCAAGAGGGTGCGGTGCCGTATGTACAAGTTTAAGATAGCAGATTAAGTAGAGAAAACTGTTTATTATTCACATCTTCCTCTCAATATACATTTTTTGTTCGTTATACATTTTATAAGAAAAACACCATTATATTTATTGTATTAGTCTATCTTTCCTCGGCTTAATTCATGTTGAAAACTTGAGATTTACATCTTTCAGATTTTCAGATGTACTTGCAGAGCTTCATTCTACCTTTGGCAATCAGAATGACTCTATGTGCTATGTTTTTGGAATGATAGGAATGATAAGCGTATGAAGATGAACGGTCAACTTGAGTATCTCTCAACTAGTTAAGATATTTTTTGACAAAGAAATTAGAGTGAAATCCTCACCGACAAATGTACGGAATGGTATTGTATCTCTCCGTCTGCCATTGTTTACACATGAGTTGGGATTAGAGTAATGCCAAGTTTGTGATATTGGAGACATTTGGTTATGTTCTAAGGGTTTAACTTTCCTAACAGAAAATTTAGCAAAAGAAAGTCATCATCTTCTAAATTAGTGAGATGATCTAATCGCGTCAACGGGCGTTTAGAGTGAGTAAGCTCGTATTGTATGATAGTATAAAAAATGGCTTTGGAAGAGCTTTTTCCTTTGTAATTTATTAAAAGTATTTTAAATAGAGAGTGAGAAGCAATGCCCAGAGTATAGGAAGTACTAGGGATCGTGTGTTCTTACATGTTTGTTTTACTGCAAATTTCATAAAATTCTCAGCTAAAGAACCGCTAGGCTACAATAGAGTTCTTCAGACCAGCAGACAATCTCTTGGAAATTCTGCATGTTCCCTGTACATATCTTAAATCTAACCTCACAAACCTACACAGGTAGAAACTCTCATACATATCAATGACCTGAATGATTATTGAACTACAAAGAGGAAATTCAAAGCACATCATAGTTCATGAATTATTTACAGAGTTACTCTTGTTAACACCTTGCATCTCCATGGGAGAATTTGAAATACTACTGACCGAACCGAGGGTTTGTGAACTCAACTGCGGGCTTGCAGGGCAAACCTCGGGATTGCCAGCACTCAGACCATGGATTGTCCCTGAGCTCATTTGCTGTGGGCTCATTGGAGTTCTCTGATTCATTGGTTGAGGGCTCATTGGAGTTCTCTGATTCATTGGTTGCGGGCTAGTTGATTGCTGCTGTTGTTGTTGCTGGGATTGTTGGTTAAGTTGATGGACTCCCATCGAAGGTGAACCCACCTGCTGTGGTGAAACAACAGCCTGAAGTGGTGAGGTTGTTTCGGGATGCTGTTGTAGCTGCTGAGGTTGTTGTAGCTGCTGTTGTTGAGGTTGTTGTAGCTGCTGTTGTTGAGGTTGTTGCTGCTGCAGTTGCATTTGCTGTTGCTGTTGCTGTTGCATTTGCTGCTGCTGTTGCTGTTGCATTTGCTGTTGTAGTTGCTGCTGCTGCTGCTGGTTCATGTATGCATTTATTCCTGGCATCAACTTTGGAGGACCCATTGGTACTACTGCTCGTTGCATTGGGGTCATGCCAGCACGGTTCAGAGCCTGTCCAAGCATTGAAAGGCCAGCTGAGCTTGCATGCATTTGTCTTGCTCCTGGGATTCCAGTTATTGTTGATTGAGAGGCAGCACCAAGCATGCCTCGGTTCTGCGCCAGCCGAAATTTATAAGCCGCTTGTGCCTGGGCTGATGCCATTGCCGTTCCTGGTCGAAATTGCTGACTGAGAGGGTTGTTAAAACTAGATGCCTGGGTTAAGTTCATCGGATTTTGACCTGTATTGCCCATGGCAGGAATAGAACCCATGGATGCTTGGAGTCCAGTTCCTCCGATTCCTCTGGTAGTTCCTACACCCATTGAACTGCCAAGGTTTCCAAGCCCCACCATGTTATTGTTCATGTTACCCATACCAACAGCTCCCATTATCATTTTCCTCTGCATTTGTGATTGCTGCTGCTGCTGCAATAGGTGAAGCGGAATGGACGACTTGTTCACCATGTTATTACCCAATTGAACATTAGAATTCTGGCCAATGGCGTTCAAATGCGAAAGCTGGTTTGTCCCAAGCATCATTGATCTCTGGAACTGTTGATGCTGTGGTTGCATAAGGTTTTGCTGATTCTGCTGCTGTGATGGCTGCGGCTGTTGCTGTTGCTGCGGCATCGAAGTTTGGGCTTCGACCTGTTGCGGTCTTGTGGGCAATGAAACCCCTGCCAAAATCCCTTGAGACTGTATGACCGCCTGAGAGTTTCCAGGAGGCAACATCCTTGTGTTTCCTAGAATATTATGGGAGGAGTTGAGCAGAGAGGCATTACCACCACCACCACCACTTGGCCTTGGAATTTCATTGGATGTTTGACTCGGAAAAGCTTCTCCATAATGCTGCATTTCCGCAGCTGGATTAATATGAGGATGAACACCAGCATTTGATTGACCGATAGGGGATGGGTTTGTCCGGGTCGGCCTAACTTGAATATTATCTTCCATAAGATCATACCCTTCATGAACCATCTGCAAAATTACACCATCATCTAGAAACTTCAGGCATGTTTGGTAACTAAATCATTTTAAAAAGGATTAAAATCTTAACCAAATTTAAATGATTAAGAGCAGTCTTGCAATTTAATGAGAGTAAAATTTAGATCATACCAATGTACATAATTGCTCAGCAAGTAAATCCGCCGAAAGCTGTATCATAAAACATACATATAATGGTGTCAGAACTGGAAAATGATACAGAAGATGTTGAGCAAATGAGTAATCATTAAGAATTAAAACTACACAATTACATGAAACCAAGTACTAAACCATTATCAACAAGGCCTTCATTCAATAAACTCAAGCTACATTAATGACCAGATTATAACTGTGCCTTCAGAATATTTTGTCCCATCTTTCCTCCCTGTATTGCTTTCAGATGCTAATAACACTGCCCAAAACTGAAGGGGGGATCTAAATGGCATTGTCATACAGACACAGCATTCACATCATTTCTAACTTGAAATCATTTGATAACGGAACTCTATTAGAACAAAATCGAAGATAAGTTACACAGAACACCTCTTGTTTCTTTTCTTTCTTCTTCATCTTCTTTTTAAAATTTTGATGGAACCAAAGCACATAAGAGAAGGTTCATAAATAACAAACAGGCACTAAGCACTAAAGGAAGCAAATAGTTCAAGGAGGGACCTTACAGACCATATATTTGCAAGCCTAATATAGAAAGCTAGCTTTTATAAGCCAAAGCCCTCCCTAGACTTAGAATCAATAATACTTGCAGATAATATGTACCGTAGTTGAGCATTTAATCCTAATATTAAAAAAGATCCATGTACTCTGTTGGGTCATGTTCAGAGGGGTATAGACTGAAAATTCTGGGATGTGGTGGTTTTTTTGGCCTCCTCTTGAAGCACTTTTTGTATTATTTTTGGAGAAGGGTATAAATAAAAACTCGGTAAACACATTAGTATATTACTATACGGAAACTTCGAAAAAATTGTTGGACAGCAGAACATGATAGATTGGCCAATAATCTCAATCAATCAACAAATGCATATGAAACAGTTAAATTTAACTCTAAGTACAAAATGGCTTGTAATCATAATAGAACATACAGTATTGGGCAATGTTGGAAGACGATCCTCAATAGCGAGAAATCTGCTATCATCTATATCTTCATAGGTAATGGCTACGGTTCCATCACTGGGCTTTTCCGACAGGATTACCCTACTTCGTAACCTAGTAACATATGGAGCCATTCCTGCAGAAGCACACAAAGAGGTTTCAAATGGAATGAAGAGTTAAACAAAAGGCCAACTATCCAAAAACTCCCAAAGTTACACACCTTGAGGCATACGGTCTTGCAACATAAAAGTTAACACCCTTCTTTTGCAGGCATTTAAGCTGCCGCCAATTAGGGACTTTGACATCTTCCTTGGACAAGCGTCATCTTTTACGTCATCACCAATTGATGAGTTTGCCAGATGAGTAGCAAGATTGTGAGTTGGGTAAGTATTTGACTTTCTGACAGAATATTCATTGGCCTTACTCTTTTTATGGTTAAGCTGATGCCTGTAATAGGTTTTGGTTAAACAAAAAAAATGTGCATTAAAGGCCTGTACATCCTAAGAGAAGCCAGACCCTGCTTGAAAATGAAAAATGCAACACAGTGACTTTAATTCATGACAAATAAAGAGGATAGATGCCCAAACTTTACCTTGCAGCCACCATTTCAATCTTTGAGAATCTTTCAATCATGGTTTGATCAACAAAAGGTGGGGTTCCAACTGAAGGACTGTTTGCATTCAGGGGAACACTCATATTACTAACACTAGCAGGAGATCCAACTCCACTGATTACTGGATTTTTGGGGAGGGAATTTGATCTCCGCTTTGAGGCTTGATGTTGTCTTTGCATTGAATCATTAGCACTGGAAGAAAAGGATGGAGTTCCACCAACATGAGAAACGGGATTAATGGCAGACTTCTCCTTTTGTGCTGATACAAGTGCAATATTTCCAGGCACTCCATAGTGGGAACCACTAGAGCCACCAGAGAATTCCCCTGATTTTGACAACGATGGTTGAGGCACAGCTCCTGCTGACACACGAGGACTTTGAGCTGATTTTCTTTTTGATAGTTGGTCCTCCTTTCTTGCTTCCTTCTCATTATGCTGGCCAAAATTATTCCAAGGAGGCTGAGAGAGATTAGACCTCACGAATGCTTGCTGCGCAGGTCTTTGCTGAAACCGTGGATGCTGAGGATCTAGATGGTTCTCTGTTTCCATCATCTGCATATCAGTTTTGCTTCGACTGAGGTCAGATCCATCAATCTTTTCTGAGTCGAACTGCTCTTCCTTGGCTCCATATTGCATAACTGATTGTCCTGCAGCAAACGGTAATTGCATAGAATCCTGATTCAGGACGCCTTCAAACATCTGCGGTGAAAATTTTTGAACTCCTTGGTTTGAGTACTGAATACCTCTCGCTATTGCTTGCTGTTGCAACATATTCTTCCAAATCATGTCAGACCCCTGGGGACCTTCCGTAGACGCCAATGGGTGCTGTTGAATTCCATCGATGCCCATAAGAGATGGTCTAGGTCTCTTGTTAAAACTGGACAAGGGTGACATTTGCCCATCATGAGTTTCCCTCTTTCCAAGAAGAGAGACGTTAGTGTTCAAATTGTCCGCATACGAGATCATTTCTTGCCCAGTAGGGGAAACACCAGATGGATTAAGAACTGACCCAGCTACTTGCTCAAGTATACCTCTTGGGGTTCCACTGCCCATAGAATACCTAGATTGAGATACAGATACTGTAGGTTGTGCTGGAAGAGAAGCATCTGAAGTAAAGTTCTTTGGTCTTGATGCTAACATCTCATTTAAACTCGTATTTTGACCAACTACATTATCATGGACATTAGAAGATATCATATTTCCAGAAGCGGCTCCAGAATCTCCCAGTCTGGTATTAAAATTTTCGGGTATTCTGTCTATACAAATTTTCTTCCCAAACTTATTATTGGATGTGATAGATACTTCTGAAAGCTGTCGCAATCGCTTCCTCCGCACACTGTTCAGAGAAAAGTTGAGCTGCAGACGGTAACAATAACTGTTAAACATATATAAAAGAGAAGGAAATCTTATTGTCAGAAAACATGACCATTTGAAATTTACATCACCTTCATAGAAGCTGGGCTGTTACAGAGCCTATCGAACTTAGGAGCAGGGTTAAGATTAAGTTGTGGTTGCAATGCCTTCAGAATCCGAGACTCCACTTCCTTGCGTACCAAAAATGGATAAAAAAATTTATCACATCCTCAAAATGTTACCAAAATTATTGATTATAGGTTATTAACCAATCATACATACCATCAGATCACCATAGGTCCATGAATTATCTGAAATTAATGGAATATCTTTTACCACATTTTCCAAGGACATCTTTAGATGTATCTTATTGACAATAGGCAATCCATCAGTGGATTGAGCACCAGGCCCTTGTTCAGGAGGACCTCCACGAAAATCTCGCACCTACAGCAACGTAATCATGACCATTTTTTTTTATGGAAAACTAAGAATTTGCCCAATTCCAAAAATCTAAACTGGAAAAAGCAACAATAAAACTAAATATAAATATGTTTTGAGACTAAATTAAGAATCTCAAATTCAACATCACCTATACAAGATACATGGTCATGAATTAACATTAAAAGGATCAGAACAATATCCCCAAAATTTAGTATTCTCCAGCCACATAAGAAAACAGTTGAGCACTTAAGCTTCAAAACAATCTCAAACACAATGAAAGTATTGGCATTTATTTCACTAATGCTAAACTATATTCCTCATTTCTTTTACATTCTGTAAATCGTCCTAACCATTATTTAGGCTTCCTTAAGGTAAATTCATAATTTAAATAAACTCACCTCACAAACAATTGTGCCATCAACATACTTGCAAGGTATATCATCAAGAATATCTCCAGGCAATCGGCCACATTCAATAGCCTTGAAGCACATAAAATAAAGAAAAATTAATAAAAGGAAAAACCTCTCATGATGAAAAGAATGGCAGGAGAGAAATCATATTTATCATACTGGATATTCATAGACAACAAAAGAAAATGCCAGTTGGGTACAATTCAGAGCGATAAAAGGTACATTTTGACAACCATAGAGACTACCAGGCTCATCACTAATAAGGATAAAAGTCAAAGAATTTGGAAGATAGATATAATGGGAGCAGTGTTATGTAAAGTCCATGCTTGTAAATAAAATTTCACCACACTAGCTAGCTAGATTTGAGTAGGAACAAAAATACCATAAGTTAGAAATATGCTCAATGCCAGTTTCTTAACCATAGAAAAATAAACTTTCCTTCAAGAAGACAGCCTATTCTGAATTTTGATAACCATACGATCCCAAAAGAGAGAGAATTCTAAGATTGGGACCTAAGTAATTTCCAGTATGAAGGCCATCAATTGCAGAATAATGCAAAAAATCCCAATATATGATTTGTTTTGTATTTTATGAAAAGAAAAAAGAAATTTTGTATTAATAACAAAAGAGAAAATACCAGAAAGGAGGAACAAAGAGTTCCTCAAACCTACTAATTACATAGAAGCCAGCAAGTCATCCAATTTTAAATAATCTAAAACTAAATAAATTGATAAATTAATAAAAACCCATCAACTACAGTCTAGTAAACCAGTCAATATTTACAAGATCATAAAGAACTGTCTAACTAAGAAAACCTATGTGGAGAGTAGATGAGAGAAAGCAGATGACACTTACAGAAAACAAGTTTTCAGATTTTCTGTCATAAGGAAGTAACAATTTTGAATTGTCTTGTAATGTACTCGGGTGCGTTGGATCAATCTGAAAATCACAATTACAAAGCTAAGCATTAGTTTTGATGTCCTTCACTTCCTAGTTACAACTCAAACGAAGTAATGCAATGTTTAACAGACCTCTGATGGTTTTCCAATAGAATATCCATCTTGAAAGAGGTTTAATGTGAAGGAAACTCCATTCTCTGAAAGAACAATATTAATTTTTTAAAGAAAATCAAGAAACCAAACAATAATGAGATAGTTCCTAAAGTCAATAGAAATACCTGGAGTTGGACGACCTAAAGAAGACTCAGATAACCCAATCAACCCATTTACATCCCCACTTCTTTCAGTTTCACCATCCTGTTACATAAAGAATTAAGTGTATTATAATTCCAAGTAAACAGAATTAACATCATTGACTTATACAAACTCAATGGAATCTTTTGCTGATTTCAAATTGTTGGGCAAGTACAACTTTCAAGCTTGAAAGTAGATAAAGAACAATAACAAACCATCCACTACATCAGCATTATTAAGTTTAGAATTTCAATATAGTATTTGAACATTCAAAACATTTTCAATTTAGCACTAATACTTTCAAATGATCCATCCTGGCTCGGAGACTAAGAGTATGTAACCAGCATAAATCTTTTGATTTACTTACAAAGACATCAAATTAATATCCGTCGTAACAACAAACAAATGAACTGAAATCAGATTTCGACAAAGAACCAAGAAATAGAACGTACCTTCTTAAGTTTTCGAGCTACAGAAGATTCGTTCTGCGATAGAGCCCTCAACCCATCCTTAGAGTCATCATCACCAAGGGCAGTACATCCAGATTGGGTAGTACAAAGCTTTGAACGAAAACTTTTACCCTTTTGCGAGATTTTGAAGGAAACGCCCATTTTTCCCCAGATGCGATTTAATTACGATAATTCACAATCTTGCAACGCTAACAGTGTGGACTGCGGGATCGAGGAAAAAGGAAGATTTGGGGAAGAAGAAGAGAAACTCGAAGTTCCCACTTTCAGAGGAAAATCAAATCGAAATAACGTCTTTCTCATTCGACATTCTCTCTTACCAAGCTCTCGTACTCGCTAGTAGAAAGGAGGGAAGAAACTACAAGCTGTGAATTAACGGAAATTAAGTGCGCGAATTCGGCTACACGATCTGGAAAATTTTTCCACGGCAGCGGGAATTTCATCGCCACTCCTCTCCTCTCTACTTGTCAATTGTGGCGCGTTTCTTTAATCGGAAGTCTCATTCGGAAACATCAAAATTTATCCACGACCTCATCGAACGGGAGTAGAATGAAATGGTTCTTCACCAATTTTTTCCCCTTTTCAACTACAGCTCAAGACGATTCGATTGGCTACAACTTTATAATCCATTGAACTCCAAGCTCTTGAATTTTTAATCTCAACTTATTAAAAATTTTACAATATTTATAAATTTAGTATTCACAAAATTTAAATTTTAAAATATGAACCACCCCTATGTTCTTACTTGATAGGGCTTCACATTCAATGTGAGATATGTTTTAAAGGATACTAAAAATAATTATAGTTACATCGATAGTCGGAACTAACCGTTTACGTTTGAGATAGGTTATGCTCTGACGTGTATTTTGTCCATTGGTAGAGCATTGGACCTTTAACCTATGGTCGCACCTCACGAGATTGATGAGCATTTATTAGTGCAAATCTATAAAAAAAAAATATATATATATATATATATATATTTATATTTAACTTCGAATCTGAATCTAAATAATGTTATAAATGGTATGACTTCTAAAACTAAATGTGCTTGACATTGAGTAATTCTAGGGTTTAGGGTTAAGGGAATGAAAAGAAAAATATACTGAAAGACTGACGTTATTTTTAAGTGAAATAAGCTCGAGACTAATAAAGATGAAACCTTGTATATGAACCCATTTCCAGAGACGCCATTGGTAACATTGGTATTATATATTTGGGTGGGTGAGTTAGTCTCATCCAAAAGTTAAATTTATCAATAATCTAGATAAACAATAAAAATTATTATAAAAATATTTTATATATCACTTTAGAATGGTCAAAATATTGTGGAATTTTTTTTTTAAATCATTTATTTTCTACTAAGTCCGATAAAAAAAATGATGGTGGAAAGTAAAAAGAATTATAAAAAGAAATTTCCAATTTAAAAAAATTAATTTCAGAATCTATCAAATGGAAATAATATGCTTTACAATTATTCAAAATATTCCAAATATCTTAAATGTATATATAAATCCTAACAAATCAACCTATTACAAACCATATCCTTAAAATGGTAGTATAATTTATATCATAAACAATGTATTAAAAAATAGTATAAAGTAGATAAATAATTGTTTATTAGTTTATTTGCGCTATAAATAGTATTTTTAAAAATATATCGAAATATTAAAGCATTTTTTTTAAATACATAAAAAAAACTAAAAAATAATAAAATGATATAAAAAAAATTAAATAAAAAAGAAATAATGTTTCTTAATATGTATAATAAATTTTTGTTTGATTTGGGTCAACGTTCAAAAAAGTAAACCCAAACTCAACCCAACTCAAACTCAACCCAACTCGAAATACTAATCCAACCCAACCCCTATAAGTTGGGAGGGGTTAATCTGGGTCCCCCTAGTCCATATAATATTCACAATTTAAAACTTTTAACTACACCTCAATGGTAGCATAAAAATTGAACAGAAAGGGCGAGGAAGTTGAATGTTCTTTTGTTGCAGTCTGTGTGTAATGGCACAAAACAATCATCACCCATTCCTTCACATAAAAGGAAGAGGAAATAGAGAAGACGAGAAAGAAAGAAAAAAGAAAGAAAGACTAGAATACCAAGGCTATACCCAACTAGTGTGTTCTCTCCTAAATAACAACACCACCACCACTACCACCACCACCACCACCACCAAGAATCCTCATATCCTTCTATAAATTCAGATACTCGGTACACAATGATATGATATTTCCATAAACACTACTGAAAACTCAAACACAAATTAAAAAGTAAAAAGGGATCATACACTACTAAGGCTCATCAGACAACTCTCCACAAGAAAAAAGAAAAAAGAAAAAAGAAAAACAAAAGATGAGATCCAACCAAGCACTCCATTTTGTATACATCTCTCCTCAGCCTCTTACTGATAATACATGAGCTGCTGAGCTGCCGCAACGTTCTGAAACCCACCATCATAGATGGCCTGACTTGAGCCAGCAGCACCACCCATCCCCATGGCTGCTGCCTGCTTTAAAGGATGTGGAGCCTGGGGGTGGTGCATAAGAGCATGGACGCCCCCCATTTTGCTCATTGCCAGTTGCCGCTCATATGCTAAGAGGTCAGTTGCGGACAGCCCCTGCATCGGAACTGCTGCAGGCGGAGGAAGTGGGTTCGAGATGGTTCCAGGTGGAGTTGGTTTGCTTCCCCAAGAGCACTGCAAACATACAACCAAGCGTTGTATAAATTAGTCTTGCACATTCAAGCATACAAGCAGTCGTTGCTAGCAGCTCTATGAAAAATGTTAAGAGCAGAAAACAAAACCTTGATCTGTTTTCCGCAAAGAAATGACTGAGTATTCCCCATCTGAATAGCCAAAGCTGCCTCAGCATGAGTGCTATATCTAACAAAACCAAAACCTTTATCACGCTGGATGCGAACCTCCTCAATCACACCACCAAGAGCATGAAAATGGCGATGAAGATCAACCTGCGTCACCTGTATAAACAAACAAGGAACAAGTATTCGTAACTCCAGAAAGCTAGTAGCTGTCAGATGAGTAAAGAACTCCTAAATATCACCCACATCAGACAACAAAATCAACACTACAAGATTAAACTTCCAGATAGGATGAGGTATCTTGCCTCTGGAGCAAGATTGCCAACATAAACAGTAGTGTACTGAGGATTGTTCTCCGGGGCATCACTATTAACCGTCTCTTTACCATCTTCTGCAGAAATTTCCAAATACGTGCAGTAATGTCAAAAGCTTGGGGGGGGGGGGGGGGGGGGGGGGGGGGGGGGGGGGGGGGGGGGGGGGGGGGGGGGGGGGGGGGGGGGGGGGAATCAATCCTCAATACAAAACAACAAAAGTGAGACATTCTAAACTTGTAGATTATAATGAAAGAATTGAAAAGCATCATTAACATTGGGGAACAAACACTAACCAGATGATCCATTCGTAAGTTCTGCAATGCTTTTAACATCTGAGCTCTGCTTGTCTTCATTGGATCCAGCACCTTTGGTAGCCCAGTTGCAGCGAATCTGTCGGCTTCCAAGCCACTTACCTGAAGCAGACCATATGTAGTGAGAGATAGGATGCAAAGATGGTAAGAAGACCCTTGCAATTGTTAAAGTAATTATTGGAATTATGTCAATTTCGAAGGTCAAAGACAAGACACTACTTGCTTTCATGTTGTTATGCACGATAACAATATACCACAAAATTAAATGAAATAGCAGATGAAGAGACCATCAAGCTATTCTTTCTTACAAATGTTGAACTAATTAGTCTACAATTGACAATCTACTACAAGTAATTTAAACCATAGTCCTTACCAGTCAGGTCATTTATTGCACTTTGAGCATCCTGGAAAGGGAGAGCATAATTTAGTAACGAAAAGAGAAATAATAGAAAATAACATATTTGAAGTAGATGTAGCTTGAACCTGTTGGTTGCGAAAGGAAACAAAACCAAATCCCCTCGAACGCCCAGTCTTCTGATCCCACATAACTCTGGCATCGCTGAAACCAATTATACATAATATCAGATATTGATGGTTAAAAAAAAAAAATTATTAACAAAAAACTACTCCCCCCCAGGATGAGAGCATGATCTTTTCCTCTAACTTAACTTAAATTCAAAGAAACAAACAAATAAAAAAAAGTTCAGGAGCTGAAGCTTACGAACAGCTAGGGAATACAGAGAAGCATGCAAACAGAGTAGAATCAGTAACTTCAGGACTAAGATCACCCACAAAGATGTTGAAATGACCTGTGCACAAAAAAAAAAAAAAAAAAAAAAAAAAAAAAAACGGGTGAATATAGAAGGAATTAATAAAGAAGTGGCAACTCACAACCATTAATTCAAAACAGATCCAAAACCTGATGTGTCCTCTCTTTGACCACTAGCATAAGCCCAATTTACTTTGATAGGCTGCCCAAACCTGTAAAGCACATATCAAGGGAAGAAACAGAGGTACAAAGCATGGAAAATACCAAATTTAGGTTTGTGCTTACAAATGCCTCCCATTAAGTGACAAAATAGCCATAGCAGCCGATCTGCGATCAAAATAGTGAATAAATCCATAGGATGACTGCATAAAGCAGTGGCAACAAGGATGTTAATAGACAAGGAAAGAAACAATTAGATTTAACCTATTATAAGAAAAAAAAAATATAAAAAGAGAGAGAGAGGTATATAAAATGTTTTATGAGCTCCGTTGGACCAACCTTCTCCTTTCTGACAAGCTTGCAGTTTTCAACAAGGCCTGTACTCCCGAAAACCTCTTGAAGAAGTGGTTCTGTTACTTGTGTATGTATATTTCCCACGTACCTGCATTTCCTCGAAATTAAAGAAACTAAAAGTTTTCAAAAGGAAAAGAAAACAAAGAAAATACAAAAGATACATAAGTAATCAACTACAGTCATATACATATACATAAAAATTTTAAATAAAAACACCTAGAAACTTGATTGATATTAGAGAAGACATAATGTTAAAGCAAAAGTTCAGAAAATCAAACAATTGGGTATCCAGTGACTTGGGAATTATAGATACTAAAAGCAAATAACAAATCTGTGATAGAGAGACGTGAGAACTGCAAGCAAACATAGGTTTCATAATGCAGACAAAAAAGAGGAGATGGCATTAAGGGGATAAAACGTCTTGAAAATCACTTACACACTGCGGCAGGTGCTTGGATCAAAGCCTAGGGGTAAATTTCCACTTGGAATTGGTTCAAGCTGTGCAATGGAAACAACAAAACATATAAAAAGGAAGAAAGACAATAGTGTGCCTTTATGAAATGAGTGGAGGACAAAAAGAAAGCAATTATGCCAATTAAAAGAAATCTTGTTACAAAACGACGGCTGAACCACGATGGTATTTCAATCGGTACATTGAAGAGACAGAGACCACACAATTATGAAAAAAAGAAAACAATCAAAGTATCAGGAAAGACACAGACCAGCGACCAAGCACTCAAAACTTCACAACATCGTATGGAACTTCAAGTTGAGTATAAGTCAGCTGTCATCAACAAGGATGGCAAGTGATGCATAAAATAGTATAATCTACCTGCACCCCAGAGCGAATTGAAAAATAGAA